TTTAAGATTTTTTTTTCTTCCTTAAAAGTTCAGTGATCGTAATTGACAAATTTTAGGCCAAGTGATGTTAATTATTTTGATTTATCAGGATCGAATTCAGTACAAAAGTTGCTACCCTCTTGATAGGATGGTTGCCAAAAGTCAACTTACGGGTTTTTAGTTTGTATTTTCTTTATTTTTTTTTTTCATTTGTACGTTGAATGTCCGACTTTATGTCCCTCCAAAGTATTCGTTAGTTTCTTGTTCATTTTTAATAAGCTGATAAGAGTTACAGAGAAAATGCCTTCATTAGACATATACACCATTGAAAGTGCCTTTTTCTGTACAAACTACTTGGGAAAAGACAACATGGACTATCAGTTTCTTGTCCAAAATATAGTGGGTGGAATTAATGAAATAGTAAGATTATCAATGGAAGTGGGCGAAGATGTGATGGAATGCATCTTGAGGTGCTGAGTGGGCCGAGTCATGCATAGTCAAATTAGGTCAAGGGACTCGATCTATCTTTACTATCGTTACATATGTTAGGTACAAAGTCCACCTTTGTCGAATCGAACTGCTTTTGAGTATCCAAAGGTCAAGTTAGTCGTCCTATAATCAGAGTTGACTTGTGGACGAAGTGAATAGAAATAAGATTCTACAGAGATTTCATTTTGAACAAGATAATACTTTCTATTTCTCAAATAAATGAAGCACTCATTCTATCTGGTGCCCAAATTGGCAATCCCACAAGGCCGGACCTGACTCCACTATAAATGGCAAGGCTCAGATCGAGCTGGTCGTGTCCCGTTTTCACTATTTTGTTTAGTAAATAAAGCATTCTAGTAGAAAATTTGAAATTTTTTATGAATAAAGGTCTAGTATGGGCGAGGTTGAGCACAGCAAGTCTGAACTGTTTCACAAGTTGAACTGATATGACTTATCTTATTTTAATATTACTACTCTTATACGCATATAGTACAAGGCGTATATTTTCTGGTACAATGCTAGGTATGAAGCACTTTCTTGAACCAAGAAAGGCAGCCTTTGGCGTCTATTGCCTCAACTACCCACAAACATTACAAAGATCGATGGAGGAGAAAAGTACAATCTCAAAAGACTTGTGGAATCAAGAAGGTGACTATCACCATCCTCAATAAAGGGTCTGATCTTTTTCTTTGAAAGAATCTTTTTGGGGCATAAAGTATCTTCATAAAGTAATGGTGGCCTTGATTTAGGGTTCAATGGTGGAATTATTAAAATTCTGAATGGCCTGATTCTTAGTTGTTTAATTTCAAATTTGGAAGATAGACAAGTCTGAATTCAATTTTATCTCTATATATTGAAAAGTTGAAGACATCGTACATCACGTAAAATTATTTAATAGTTGTGAGTAATGACTAGAATCCTATGTTCTAATAAAGACTCGTCACAATTTGACGTATTTGATCTTGACCTTGTGTCTCAACATCGATTATTTTTATGGAAATAAATTTGCACTTTTACATCTCGTCAAAGACTAACTATGGGTGCCAAAAAGATTTTAGGTCCATTTATCGAGCACTTAAGAAATTCAATATCTTTAAAATTTCAAATGCTTAAGCGATAATGGCTTTAAAACGAATAATATGATATGTTATGAGTTCGATTTAATTGTTACATTGTATTAAAATTAAAATTTTTGAACTCGGTGTCTCTAAAGAAATATCTTATAAATATCCCAGAATATGATAAATATTAATGAAGATGAGTCCACCCAAGAAGAATATTATTTCAAAGAAAAAGAAAATAAGACATTAAGAAATATGTTCCACATGAGGTCAAATAATTAATTAATTAAATTTTTTTTAATAATTCCGTTCAATTTATCCAAGTAAATTCAACAATTAAATACTTATATTATTATGCACGTGTGGTAGTAGTGGCGGCTCCGCCGTGACCGGTGGTGGAAGCTCGTCCCAATCACCAAATGAGTTTTTAACTGTTTCCTTTTGCACGTGTCTCTTTTAAATTTGTTAATGATGATGGATGAACCACTAAACCTAATCTCTCGTGATGTGTTGCATGTTAATTTTATTTGAAAATAATCGCTATAATTAATATTCGCTAAATTTCATCTTAAAAGTTAATCTTATTTGGAGATTTGAATTGATTAATATTTTTATATTTAATTGATATAGGAATTGATGTTGATTAAAATTTTTATATTTAATTACTTTAGGAATTGGCTCTTTTCGGAACACTATACTAAAATTCAAATGCTCATTCGAACTTTGAATGAAGAAAATTGCTTGTTTAAATTTAATGGACTCTTAACACTCGGGAAGTTTTATTTTAAAATGTCAACAATATTAAGGATATTCAAACCATTATATGTTAATTAATATTTTTATATTCAAAGTGGAATTTATCATTAATAACTAACATTGTATCTATCTCCATTAATCATTGATAGCTAACACTATATCTATCTCCATTAAATAGATAGAATACTTGTGGATCGTTGGATTATTTTAATTTTTGCGATTATTTTTTGAAAATTGTCCAGTTAGCTTTCCAAATCCAGGTGTGCGCAAAAGGAGTTGAACCTTTTAGCGCTGCTTTCACATGATGCAAGGCTTCACAGACTTATGCAGTAAAGGTCTTCCATTGAATTGAATAGGGTGAGGAAATGGCCAGAAACGCTTGTCTTTTAACCTTTAAATTAAAGTTCAGCGGCGTGTATCTAATCAGCGTTCGTGTTGTTAATATTCAGGGACAGCTGACTTTGCTACCCTTTTTTTTTTTTTTTGATAACTCAGGTGTCCAAACTTCGCCTGACTAATCCTGAGAAGTGGCGAACGTATGAAGATACATGTTCTATTAAGTGGTTGAACAAAGGCTAACCATAGCTCCGAATTGAACTTCAGTATCCTAATTGCAGGGGCAAAGTTCAGCGACCACAGTGAAATTTACCCTTACCTTACCTAATTTCAATTTGTTTCAAGTTTGATATACTGAATGTTACACATATCCAGATACGTGAAATCGACTTAATAGGAAAGTAAACACAGTAGCTTCTTTTGGATAACCACTTTATCTTTTTCCTTAAAACAAACTTAGACATCAACGGAACTGTAATGAAATGAACACCCAACAACTTGAACAAAATGAAGTTAAGTGGCCACTGGCCAACAAGATTTAGTGACCACGGGTGTGTTTATAACTCAATTAAACTGCTAATCAATAATGATAACTCAATTAGAACTAAGAACATTAAAAGCTCTATCACTACTCTAGAATAAAAACTCATCCATTGCGAATCATATGACCAACACGATTTGCTAAACTATTAGACAAGCTATTCATCACAATGAATGAAGCTCCTAAAACAGAAATCGATACAAAGAGTTTGCTAACTTACGAATGGAATACCCAAATCGAGCCATGATATCAGCTTGGCTGCACACTCGAAGGAGCTGCAGGCTGTAGGTTTGACTTGACAGGAATAGCGGTGACCACTTGTTTATTGTGTTTGTGACGTTCCTCCACCTGCACAGAAGCAGACTTCTCGGGACGGAACCCTTCGACAAATGATGTTTCTTGTTTCCTCTTAAGTTTCTTTTTCGATAATAAGTCGGTAGTGCCCACATCAACCGGATTGCTGGAGTGTCCCTTTGCTTTTTCCTGTTTCGGCTTGTCCATATTAGGACCATTTGCAAAGGTAGCAGGCATGCGAATTTGAGCATTGGCTACTGCTGTACTGGGGACTGATTTGCTGTTCGAACTTAAATTGTAATCACGAGAATTTGGTTCCAATATTTCTTGCACATGAGATGGCAGAGCAATGTTACTAGCTTCTCCTCGAACAGGCTCGTCCACCTTTGGTGCCAGTTTCTTCTTCTTTTTCATTTTCTCTTGATCCTAAGCATTATTTTTCAAAGATCAAGCATAAATACTATAGCATGTTTGGCAGGGAGTATTAAATAACATTGGGCAGCATTAATTTAGAAAAATAAGCTAAAATCTTATTCATTATACTGTCTTGTTCTGCCTGGTACTGCTGTACTAACACAGACTTAATGCATGCAACATTACAAGGAAATGGATGAATTAGCTATTGTCTGGTGGAAGATGGAATCAGCGTGGGGTGCAAGAAAAGAATGCCTGCAACGTGACTCCACCTAAAACATAACAGGAAGACAGGAACTATTATTTGGTAAGGCATAAATGCCATTTCAAATTTCATATATCACAATTTCCAGCACCCTAAAGCCAACCTCCACTTGGGTAGATATTTTAGTAGTACTCAATCGTAAGGTGCAATACTGATCCAGAATTCAAAAATGTTACTAAAGTTAGATGAAATTATACAAAACAGATCCAATATTTATTAGAAATGGAACTCCCACTACTTCCCAGTATTTCAAGTCAAAATTCTTTGTCGTGCTCAACTGTCCAGGATGGCATGCATTTACTTTTGTTCCTAAGAATCCCAGCCTTATAATTGAATTCCCATGTATGAAGGCGAATTACTTCTGCTCGTATAAAAATTAGATTCATAAACCTCGCTTGCAAAAGTAATATTTTCCTGGATCAATTGTTGCCCCTATCTTCATTATTTGTAGGCTGACATGATGTGCAATTTTCATTAACAAAAAGCCAAGAACACTGATATAATTTAATGAAGGATAACCACTTTCTGTTATACGTAATGCTTACTATGAAAGTTGATTGTGCAACTTTACACATTTCATATGGTTTTAACATCAAAACCAATAAAAAAGAAAGAGAGTACAAGAGGAAATGTCATAAAAGATAATCTAATGCTAACATCAAATGTCATTACATTTGATGTATCCAAATAGCATGATTTTCAATAAAAGCTATTCATGAACCCCATTCTCAAACAGGATTAAGCGCAACCTCAACAAATGAGATAAAATAATTTGCAAGTAGATATAACAATGCATCAAAGATATCAAAAAAATAGCCATACAGTGGCCCCAGCCCCACCAAACTCTCGACAGAGAGAAGATTAAGCAAAAGGAGATTTCTTATGAAGCACACTGACTGTAAAACCATGGTATCAATATTTTTTCTACGGATGTATGAATTAAAAGGGAAGACCCTCATACACAATATATATATAGGAATCTCAAACATATGCATATGCACAATTATGGTCCTAAATAGGTATGGAAGAAGTAAAAGCTTTCAAATTTAATAAGCTTGATGATGCAAAAATTTAGAAATACACAGAAAGGTAATAAAGATGATATCCATACCTTTTGTTGGCTGCTTAACGCCCTCTTCCTATCTTTTGCTCTACATATAGCACGTTTAATGCCATGGGTATCCATGCCACTAGGCCACAATGCTGCAAGCTGCATATGAAGAAGACGTACAACAAAGATTAGAAAAATAGTCATTACAAGTGGAAAAAACGATATTTGGTGGTCACAGCAGTTATAAGTTCGCCAAAAAATTGATGGATATACGCCAAAGCTTGGACAATCTAATAGATTAGCAAAGATCCAAAAGTAATGCAAAATCCATTATTGCGAAGTGAGACTTCATTTTCCTCGCACGTTTTTATACAGAAAAACGTAGGATAGAGCGAGTAGCATCCTCAACAACACTACACCAGGAATCTCCACACGTGGGCCAAACACAAGTGCAGGTTCATGCACATCAATTACTCGCAATCAAGACATTATTTAAATGAACGAACATACCGAAAATTGCAATAGAAATATTAAATTCTCGTGTGTACATATAATGCATCTCTTCTCACTTAATGTGGGGAGTTTCATTAACTAATCACAAAGGATATTCTGCGAAAATGGGGGATGTTTGTTTCCCATTTTTGTAAAAATGAGAATAAAAATTATAGCCGTTATGGGTTCCACACAAGAGATAGCAATTCAAATTTGGTGGTTTGATGTGATGGATAACGGTCATATTTTTCATTTTAATGGGGAAAGAATGAGAAACAAACAGGGACTTATTGCTAAAGTTTGATTATAATAGACCTATTTCAATAAAAATAACTAGATCAATCACATGCCAACTACCTCTTCATACAACCTCCTAACTGGTGGACCTGGATCTTCTTCGAACCTCTAAACGACAAAGAAAGATCAAGTTAGATAGATTAAATTCCTTTGAGCTCAACTACAATAAGGGAAGCTTGATTTATTACTTCAACATAGAGGTCATATAGGTCACAAATTTTATCTTCCAATGCACTATCAATGCGATATTTTCTTTTCAAGGACTCTTTCTCTTCTGGACCAGTTTCTTGAAAATCATCTGATGATGCAGTTTGTTGCTCAAGTAACTGCATAAAATATCTGATATTAGATATTGAAATAAAACGAAAAGCAATGGCAAATTGTGTACAAGCCAACAAGCTTCCAAGGTGTGTCATGGCGAAACAATCATTTCAAAAACGTGGATTTAGGATAAAGAATATTGCATCTCTCTAATCTAATAGTTTTCCCCCATACCTAGCCCATATTATATAAGATCACGTAAAAAATATTTTTAAAAAGGTTTTGGGTTCACAAAACACTAGAAAAGTCTAACCTTAGGTTTCACCAGTGGAATCCGCACCTTAACCATCTCTGCAATTTCTTGTTTTATGTGATGCACTCGATCATCTTTCTCTTGCTTAGCTGACAATCCAATGGTAGCCATGATTTTTAGATTTCTCTGTAGCAAAAGAGAATGCTAGAATAATCAGCAATTGCGGGATAATAGTAATAAATAACATGAGAAAAGAAACATTGCAATAATCAATAAATGCTGAGACAATATAGAGTCTGCAAAAAGTACGAAACATCTAAAATGGTCAAAGAGAAATTCCTCTATTAGACAGCTTTGCATGTTCTTTGTAAATGTCGTATGCTTACCAGGTTTGGCAATTTTTTTGAATTTCAATCCTTCCGTTTAGAAAAATGGATATTAAACTATCATAATATACTGTTGTGATGTCATTCTTTTTTAGGAGTGAGCATTTCGGAATGGCATCAAACTATTTAATACAAGAGTGTACAATCAAGTGTGATTTCCCTAAATTGCTTAAAAAGTATATGCGTCAAACATTAAGGGGGAATGAAAAAAATGATGGTCGAAGTTTTATGCTATATGGGCGTTTGGTGAGAAATAAAATTAGATTTTTGATAAATATTTTTGAAATGTGTGGTTGAAAAGTTGTGGATCCCATGAAATATGTGGTTAAAATTTAATGTTTACTTTGAATTGAGATTTTAATTGGATTTTAATCTAGAACAAACAGGCTCTATGACACCATGTGACAATTTTATGGTCAACTTTTTGGTAATAATGGTGTGGGTAATAATTTTAAACTACTATAGGTAACTTAGGAGCAGATTAAGTTTTTAGTTACTCCATGGTGGGTATCTTATTCATGTATGAAAGAAATGTCAAAAAAGTAGATTCCTTTCACGTCTAGGGTGCACCACAAATATGGGAGTCAAAGAAATATACAATAATATCGAAACAGTCCATATAGTTAAATATTTGGTTTCTCTATCCATTTAATAGTGTAGTTGGCCGAGTTTAATAACATCTACCTAACACAAACAGGTAGGTTTCCCCAATCCTATAAGTGTTTTACAGGTTTTTATTTTAACTTGTTTTCTAAGAAGTCTAATTTCCACAACTATGTCCCATGTCCATTCCATGTCACTGCTTATTGACCCACTTCTATATTCTATAAGTAACCCAAGTTAATAACACCCAAAATATCGTCAAAATACTTTTCAGTCAAGATATGCACCTTTTGGGTTTCACCTTATCAATACAAGATTAGGAAAATACCCTATATAAAATTTTCTGTTTACTATCTATGAATCTATTCTAACTCTCAATAAATTCATGGAGTTCTAGGTGGAATGGGGATAGTAATAGCCTGCATTTCCACAATGGAACACATAAATGAGTATTTTGAGAAGATCAATGAAGTTCGGACACTCTTATTAGGGTGGCGTGTTCAGAACATGTGTCCCCTACTCCATGTGGGTGGTGTATCCTTTTCTTCATATACTTGTTAAACTTCTGACACTATAGGGCCACCTCCCAGACACGCCTCAAGAATGTTCCAACAAGCCATGTGATGTGTTCCATAATATTACACGATATCTAAATCTAACATGCGAGGAACATGTTCTCAACACATAAGGATACAGAAAGCCCAGTTTGTAAATTTTAGACAGTGAAATTAGGAAAAAAAATAATTTGTCAAGACATTTGGATTAAAAAAAAAAAACCCAAAATAGGTATGTTTTTAAGAAGTACATATCTGTTTAATATATGATATTTGCATTTTTCTTTCTTGGACACTAGTAATAAATAATTTAACCAGAATTATCTTTATGCAAAATAGCTTATCATCTAATTCGAAAATTTTAAACAACAGAATAAAAGATTTAAAAGTATTGACTTTATTGAAAGAAAAAAATACTTATCAGATTAACGAATAAAAGAATTTAATAGCAATGTCCCCATGTCTGAGTCCTTCCTGAAAAATCGTGTCATGTCCATGCTTCTTAGGAGCAGATTGGTCGCAGGAAAGATGACATCAATTTCAGTTGGCAAAATAGAGGGTGAACCAGTATATAGTTTACTCAAAAAATTTTAAAGGGTCTCCGAAATCAAACACACCCTAAAGTCAGAACACACACCTT